GGGGGGGGCTCGGTGACGGGCGTGTGGTAGTGATTCATGAAGAGGATGGCCCCCGTGACCGTCACCGCCAGGAGGACGGCCACCGAGAGCAGGATGGTGCACAGAATGTACCCACAGCTCATCCTCTGCGGACAGAGAGACAGACACCATCAGGACCCATCCGGATGGACCCATCCCGCTCCCCTTCATGTGAGAGGTGGGTTCAAACCCTCGTAGGCTTTGGGGGGGTCCAGCAAGGGGGGAAGCGATGTTGGACACGTGGATGGTGGCAGAGGAAGGGACGGGTTGACCCCAAGGAGCCCTCTGGTTCTGGCAGGGACGTGGAGGCCACAGGCGAGCACTCAGCGAGCAAAGCAGCTGAACCCACCTGGGAGCTGGGGGCATGAAATAATAAAGAGAGCGAACGCGCGGTGGCCGCCTGCTCCTGCTGGCATGTTTTATTTAAGGCGGCGATGCTCAGCTGGAGCAGCCCCAGCTCACCGGGAGGTGCGTGCAGGGCTCCCTGCTACCCTGGGCACAAATATGGGGAGAAAAAGGGAGGACACCTCTGGTGTCCCCTGGAGTGGGGACAGCAAGGAGGCGAGGGAAGGCGGGGGCTGTCCCCAGCAGCATGGGGAGGCTGTGGGTCGATGTTGGGACCACACCGCCCTGAGCATCGTGGGGAACTGCTCTGCATGGGGCATCTCCCAGCTGTGGGGGCCACATGTCCCCGTCCCCCTTGTGCCCTCGCTGCCTGCCGGAGGGGAGCAGAGCTGCTCCCAAAGCCCTTGGACCTGTCCTGGAGCCTCCCGGTGAGGGGGAGTCACTGCGGGAAAGGTTTCCAACGCCTCTTGAGCCACTTTGGCAGCTCCGCTGCTGCAGGGACCCGTCGGCTCAGCCCACAGGAGCTGCTCCGCACGCACGGAGAGCCTTTTCTCCTTGCAAAGCGTGAAGTGCCAACGCTGTCAGCGTGGATGGAGTGAGCTGCCACCCGGCTGCATCAGCCCCCCATCCTCCCCCACCGCCTCCCCTTCTCATTACACCTGCAGGACAGAGGCTGTGATTTTCCTTTGACCCCAGCCACGGCTGTCACAAGGAATTGCAGGGCTGCCAGAAAGCTGCAGATTCAGAGAGACAAAGACTACTTTCCCCAGAAACGAGGGAAAAATTGCTGCATCTGCAAAGATTTCCCAGGCCCTGTCCCCTCCTGTGCACATCTATCTGGAGTGACACCTTCCTTCAAGCACCCTTCATTTCATTCACAGTCCTGCAACTATTTGCATTAAGGTGACCCCGGCTGCAGCAGTGCTGGCCGGGCAGGGTCCGGGGGGCCACGGATGCCCCACCGGCCCCAGGGCATGCTCCGGGTTTCTTCCCCAACCCATGGAGCGAGGCTGGAGATGCAAACGGCATAGGGCTGAATGAGAAGCCACCCTGTGGAGACCTCCATAACGAGGCAGCCCCAGGCTCAGCCCCTCGGTGTGCATTAAAAGGAGATGTCAAAGGCAATAAGGGGAGCTTTCGGCAAGCAGAGGGTCGAGGAGTTTGCCCTGTGTTTGTAGACACAGAGCCCCAGCTCAGGAGCACGAGGGGCACCCAGGAGCAGCAGGATGGTGGCAGATGGAGGTGGGAGATGCCGATCGCTGACACCCTCACGTGGAAACCCAGGACCTGGGCTCGACCCAGCCCCTCAGCACCCTGTGAGCGCAGAAGTGACAGGAGGGATGGCTGCTGACGGGAGGCCAACGTTGAGTGGTTTGGGATCCGTGAGGTGAGCAGGGACCGTGTTCCCGTGGCTGGCCCGGCTACCGCGGCCCCTTCAGCTCCCTGCCGCTGCGCCCTCCCGTCCCGCATGCTGCTGCTCCCCACCGCGCTGATGTCCCAGCCTGAACCGTGCCCACTGGGACACGGAGACGGGCTGCGACAGCCAAGGGACCCGTCTGAGCATTAAGGGTTTCAGGAGCAGAGCCATGCACGGCTGACTCTCTGTTTCCCACAGCCACACAAATCCCAACCGGGCTTTAACACCAAAATCCCGCAGGTCTGCCCGGGACCTGCATCCAGCTGTTTTCCAGCCTTCAAGCCCCAGCATTGCTGCCCTCTCACCGGCACCGGGAACTGGGGCAGGAACCAGGGGCTAATTCCCTTCGCACTCAACCACCTCTGCTCGCGACCGCGAGATCCCGAGCAGCGGCAGCTTTACGAGTCCCACAGCATTTTGCTGGCAGGTTGTGTTACCTGGCAACCTGCAGTGGGGAGAGGAGGGAAACTCTCAGACAGCGGCACCAGCAATGCTCCAAACTGGAGTTTGGGTCCCCCCCGATCCCCCCAGCACAGCAGCCCTGCAGCTGCATGCCCAGTTCCCAGCATGGGGTGCTGCAGACGCCTCTGCCGCACCATGGCCATGGCCCTCATGGCTCCGGGGGTTTCTGCTGTCCGTTGCATGGGCTCGGGGTCCTGGATCTTCTTGCCAAGGCTTTCAGGCAGCTGCAGGACACCCCCCTGCCTCAGTTCTTGATGTCCCCCGGTGACATCCATTGGGCTGGAGGTCCCAATGTCTCCAAATCACTCCTTCCTAAGGAGAGCAGAAGCTGCGAGGCTGGGAGGTGCTCGGGACGAGTAGAGCTTCACTTGCAAACCTGCTCTGGAGCTGGGGCTGGAGCTTGAGAGGGAGCCCCAGGCAGGAACCGAGGCACTGTTGCCTCCCTGGTGCAAAGCTGAGCCGGGCTCTCCATGCCCTGCGCTGGCTCAGGCAGTATCTCTATGCTTGGCCACCGTACTCCGTGGGGGCCGAGTCCTCGGTGCCCCAGCCACGCCATGTGAGCAGCCCGTGGGCTGCCTTGCACCCTGGGGCTGTGGGTCCCTGCAGCCCCAGTGCCCATCATCCCCTCACCAAGCGTCCCCAAGCCTCCTCAGCCTGCCGGACAAGCGAGCGGCTGTGCTGGGCGTGGGAGACAGCAGCTCCGGCACATGCAGCCTGCGGGGAGGGAAGGATGTGAGATGGCTTGTCCCCGGGGCAGCTGGAGCAGAGCTGGAGGTGGGCTGGCCCCCGGGGAGCATGGACGGAGAGCGGTAGCGGGAGAGGCTGAGCTCTGCTGTGGGAGATGCTCTTCAAGGAGGAGGTGCCCTTTGCTCCTGCCAGCTCGCCAGGCAAGCTCTGTGCTGTGGGATGGTGGGCAGCAATCACGGGCAGCCCTGGGTGGTCTCCCCCTGAGCCGTGCCCCCAGCCAGGTATGAACCAGGAGCCCGGTCGTCCTTCTGAGGCAGGTGGACACTGGTTTGCATTGCCCAGGCTCAGCTGCTGGGACAAACTTCAGCCCAGCTGCCCCCTACCTTACTGCAGGGGTCCACTCAGCCCTAAAGGAGCCCCAGGGCAGCAAGGGCCAGTCCCCCGCCCCCCCAAGCCATTGCTCGCTCCAGAGCAGCTCAAGCAGCTCATTTTGCATCCCAGCTGCTCGTCCTGCGCCGCTCGGCTGCCCCTCTCCCTCTCCACCCTCCTTGCCTGTCCAGCTCTGCTGCTGCTCAGCTTTGCACAGGGCTGCAGCCCCCGTCCCCGCTCACCCTGGGGCAGGGGCTGTACCCCAGCCGCCCCCCCCTCACCCTGCTGCTCCCCGCACCCTCCCAGAGGCTAACACTGCACTTCGCTCGCTCCCCGCAGGCACGGAGGCAGATGAACTGAATCCCGCTCCCATTACCTGCTCTCTGTCATCCAAAGCCTGCCTGCCGCCGCTCCTACAGCACGGCGCGCTTTGTGGCTCCAGGAGAGGAGAGGAGAGAGCTGGCGAGCGCGCCGGAGCCGGCTCTCTGGGTGAGCATGCAGGTAGGCTGGGACGGGTTTCCACTGGAGCTTATGGGAGCTGGGAGCCCAGCACCGGCTGCACCACAAACTCCGTGCCTCCTTTGCAACCCCCTGCATGAACTACTGGCTCCGGGCTGTGTTGCCCAGCCCCGTACGGGTGGTGGGGCTGGATCCATCCTGCCCAGCTCATCCTTGGGGCCATGGCGGGGCACAAAGCCGGGCAGAGAGCGGCTCCAGCCGGATGGCACCGCTCAGACCCCTGCGTGGAGGGGCCGTGCACCGGGGAGGCAGCTCTGCCGGGAAGGGGAGAGGAGAGCGAGGTTTCTCTCTGGGGGAGGGGGTGGTGTGTCTGGGGCCTCCCATGCCACTCGGGATGCGTAGCCCCTCTCCAGCGAGGTGAGGGAGCCATTCGGCACGGACGGGCTGATTGGGGCGAAGGCGGCTCAGAGAAGGGTGTGCAGCAGGGAGAAGTCAGGCAGAAGTCCCTTTCCTGCATTGCTGCGGGTGGAAGGGGGACAGGGAAGCGGGAGACTTGGGGGCGAGCGGTTCTCGCGGCTGGGGCCGGCTGCTCCCCGCCATCCTCGCCCAGCGCCGGGGTGCGGAGGGAGGGCAGGCGCTGCCGGCTCTTGGCTCCCTTCCCTGGACTCACAGGCTCCGTCCGAGACCTGGT